AGCTTGTTGGCTTGATTGTTGTTTCGATTTAAAATTGGGAGGAATAATCGACTGGTAGCAAGTTTGACTCCCTGGGAAAACACTTAGCGGCGGTCCGCTAAGGGAAATTAAGATCAAATTTCTATTCTCATTGAGACAACATAGTTCGAGTCGGGTTTTTCCAAATCTTAAACTGAGTTAGCATTGGCGACGATAGTCGTAGTTAGTCCACATAAGGAGTGGAATCCAAAGATTGATTTTGGATTGTAAATTTACTGGAGAGAAAAACATGTTACAAGGGTTGGACCTTGTAGAATGTAACCGAAATTAATCCGAAGTAGAAATCTTATTCAATGATCAATTGGAATTGAGGCAAAGCGAGGCCTAAGGCTGCTTTCTGAAATTATGTTTCTTCTACGTTTTTACCATTAAATTTCCTATATTAACTTTTATTTACTCTTTCAAACAAATCCCCATTTTTACTTATATTTCACCAAGACCAGAATCAAAAGCCTTCTAAATCAGCAGCTCCAAAGTCCCTGTGGATCGACCTTTCTTCTCTCTTCAACACTATTTTTATTTCTTTTATTCGAGATTAAGGAACATTATTTGATAGTAAAATGACACGTGTCACCATGTCTAGGGGGTTACACTGTATCTTTTATGAGTCTGTCCATTTTGTTGGTGTTCTATCGGTATGTGCCCGTGCTGGAATAGTAAACGAAGCACTCGGGTATATCGAGATGATGCAAAAAGATTTTAAGATCAAACTTGTTATGGACCATTACTCATGCCTAATTGACATGTTTGTGAGGATGGGGTCCTTGGATGAAGCTTTTGATTTGATCAAGAAAATGGATTTTCCTCCGAATGAGTCCATTTGGTCTCTATTGCTTGCAGCATGAAAAAGATATGGCAACAATGAATTGGGATTCTATGCTGCTGAAAATTTAATTGAACTGAAACCAAAAGATGCCGAGACTTGTCTCTTGTTGCTGAATATATATGAATCTGCGGAGAGATGGGAAGCTGTTTCGAAAGTAAGAGAACTGATGAAGGAGAAGAGACTTGAAAAGTTAACGGACTGGAGCTTTATGAGCATTCACGACAAGGTTTACTTGTTCAATCCCGACGAGAGGCAAGCATATGGAGCTGAGATGTATGAATTTTTGGATGAATTAGTTTATGAGCATTCACGACAAGGTTTACTCGTTCAATCCCGACGAGAGGCAAGCATATGGAGCTGAGATGTATGAATTTTTGGATGAATTAGTTGATAAAGCAAAGAGTGTTACTGGGTATGAATCACTTGAAAGTTTTACCTTACTTGGTGAAGAAGTTCAACATAGTGAGAAGTTGGCTGTTGCATTTGGCCTAATGAAAATACCAGATGCTGCACCAATACGAATCATAAAGAACATAGGGATGTGCAATGGTTGCCACAACTTTATGAAAGCGATCTCTTTGCTTAATGCAAGGGAAATCATCGTTCGAGATAGCAAGCAGCTCCATAAATTTGACAATGGGAAGTGTTCTTGTGGGGATTATGGTGGTTTACTTTGATGAGTAAGGTAGATTCCCATCACTCCATTTTACCCCCACTTATATAAGGTTACTTTAAGAACATTTCATGCAAATTCTTGTCTCTGATATTCCTGAGTATTTCAAAGGTGTTGTAGGCATATGCATCGCAAATTGTTAGCATGTCAATTTTTTTTTATTATAAATACTTAACATATTAACACAATTCAAACCCACATGTAGAGATTTCCAGGCACCATCATGTTGAAACACGACTAATCCCTAACTGCTATGGACCAAAAATAACAGAACTTTAACTCATCTGAAGAATAAAACAGAATCTGAGTTTATGAATGAAATACTATGGGGAACAATATTCACTCAAACTGATGAATTGCTTAAATATAAATTGAAATCAATAAAAAAACCAGGAAAATCAATGCTAATAGCCTGATTCGGAGCTTGCTGCAATGATTTTCTCATTTAAGTACTTTCTCTTCGAAGAGAAATGTTACATCTTCACGATTATAAGAATATCAAGTATTTGGTTTTTTAGAAAGAGCTAAACTTGGGATAATGTAAGTGGATTGAGTTGCTTACGATTACTATTATGTAATAGATTACCAGTCACAAAAAGTCAATATAATGATTAACGCTTTGAATCAGAAATTGATATCAGATTTATGAGTGGTGTTCGCGAAGTTGAGTATGACGAAGGATGGGAGATTTTAGCCGAGCTTCACGTTGAGCCTACTTTGCTTCAAAGAGATAAAAAAGGCCCAAAGGTTGGATGACAGTTTTGTTGCCAAATTAGATTAAGGCAAGGAGAAACTTTTAATCTTCGAATTTTATGATAGAGATGTGTTCTTTAGGGGACAATTGTATGTCCACGATGATGATCTGTTGATAGTTAGAATCCTTGGAGAGGCTCATTGTTGTCCTTTCGGATGCTTACTTCGCGAGTTATAAGATGCATCAGGGGCTTTATCAATTTTATTGATGGTTTAGTATGGAAAGAAAAGTGTCTACGTACTTGATTTGTTAGTAGGTTAAAACGGAACATTGAATTTCTTCACGTTGTTTCAGCCTCTGATTTTGTAATCGAAATGAGATAAGGTTATTATGGATTTTATGTTAGGATTGTTGAAGGCTCGGAATAAGCATGATGTCATACCTATAATTGTGTATTGATTGATTAACACTGCACATTTCTTTTCATTATGTATGGGTCTCATTATGAAAAGATTAACTCGATCATACATCAAAAAGATTCTGAGGCTTTATGATGTATTATTTCTTATCTAATAGAGATTTTTGATCTACTTATAGATTTTAAAGGAAATTTCATGATACTTTGAGAATTCAGATGCATTTTAGTACAACTTTTTACCTATAAATTGATGGGATGGTCATTCAAATTTTAGATGATATACTCCATTATAGTATCATTGATTTTGTGAGAGGTTGGGAATGAAGTCTTCTGCGGGTGGAATTCATCTACAACGATAGTTATGAATGAATATTTGCATAGCTTATATTAATTTGAGATATTGTAGGGTTGTAAGTGTAGAAGTCTATTGTATTGGATCGAGTTGAGCAAGGAAAAAATAATAAACAATAAAAAGTATTATTTTTCACTAAAAAATGTTTTGTAAAATTGATAAAGTTGAAAACAATGATTTTCTTTACTCGAGTTCAAATATATTTAAATAAAAAATACTTTTTATAATAATTTTTATGTATTAAAATCTAGTCTTAATTTAAATCCATATACATATACAATTTATTTTATTTTATTTAATTTATTTCTATTATAAAAAAACAAATAACTACATGTATATTCATATTTTATTATTAAAGATAATTAAATGTGTTTTCTAATTTTTCAAATCTAAAACATATTTATTTGGAAAGGCAAACCAAGCATAAATCACATAGCTATGACTCAAATCAAGAAAAAGAAATAGAAAACAAGATACATATAAATTTATGGGACATGCAATCAAAAGGGGATGGATCATGGAGATTTTGCTTCAATCTATCCTATAAAAATGAAGATTTAGTTACGATTACAAACACATTTTTTTGTCTTCCATGGAAGTATTTGTCCAAATAAAAAAATAATTAGCTTTGTAATTTCATAATCGATTATAAAACACATTATATCAGTGGACTAGATTTTTAGATGCCAAAATTGGCATATTTCACAACAAATAAATGAAATTGTTCCATTGATGCATTTAGGCATGCATGCCCTGAATTTCCCTGAAAAACTGCCTTAAATTTCCTAGTAAATGTACAATGCATGATTTTCATTAACGTGCACTACCAGACATGTGCTTGTTATGGTTTTCCTGCAATCGCCTATTTAAGCTATTTTTTTCACATCAATTATGAAAAGTTGATTTTCCTTTCTCTATGTTCAGAATGGAAAAGGGTCAAGCACAAAATCTCGCCATTAGGGTCGATCTCGTGGCTTTAACCAAACAACAGCTACTATTCCTTATGGAGGATGATCGAAACCGATCCCTTTATGATGGCCCTATCTTACACCGGGCCATCTATAGGTGAATTCTTGCCTTGAATGATCTTAATACATCCACACATATTATTACTTCCAACTTTTGATTACCTTAATCTGCTAAGTTTAGGTACAAACACTGTTGGCTTCCTGTGCTTGTCAAACACGTGGCGTCTGCGATTTTGGAAGGTCCTTTAATCGTGCCACTCGACTGTGAATGGATTTGGCACTACCATAGGCTCAACCCTGTATGTTGTTCTAACATTTTCAACCATGAAACATGTATTGTCATCATGAATTTTACTAATTTGTACTTGTTGTCTTTGTTAGGTTCAATACAAGGCCAACTGTGAGGAACTCTACGGGAGAATTCTCGACAACCGAAATGTTATATAATCCATCAGGATAACTTACAGAAAGCAAACTGAAGAAATTTGGGACATGATGTATCCTTTTGAGCCATATGAACTTAATATGAGCACTCATTTCTCAGAGAATGTTCGAAACTCAGTACAAACTTCGAAGAGCACCGAGTATGATCTGGTTTCAGCTGTCAAAGTACTTTCTTTTATCAGGTACTTAAGAAATGGGGGACATGTAAACAACAAAAGTATAGATATCATTGTTTTAAGCTTTGAGTTAACAGTACAGTACATGGAACAAGTATCCAGATCCCATATGAATGATGATGCCTTTCTTGAAGGAGCTTTAGCCAGATACAATGGTTTTCTACATTTGATAAAGAGGATTTGGGAAAAATCCATGAGATGTTTTTGTGTTCCGACGTATGACATCAACCTTATTTGGCAAACTCACCAGCTGTATTCTATTTCATACTGCAAAGATGTAATGGCAGCCTTGGGAAAGATATTAGAACGTGATGACACATATTCTGATAAAACCAAGGGTAAGAAGCTAGAAAATGGATTCCTTAGAACAACCAAACAATGGGAAGACATGTTCAGATTGAGGTATTGGCGTGTTGGGACAATGTATCGAGGAAATGCTCCATCTCCACTTGGACTTGTCTCAATTGAATAACCTGATGGAGGAGAAGATGGCCCCATCAAATGAAGATCAAGATTTGTTTCCAGTTCATAGGAAAATGGTCATGGAGGTAAGGCCTCAAATATCTTTACCCTACAAGTTCTAATAACAAATTATAACCCTTTTTTTATTGTTCTTACAGATTATGATAGAGATTATTGGGGTCAAAGATCTACCCCAGGGACATAAAGGAAGCCTCTTTGTTACAATCAGCAAGAACCAACCAAATGCATTTCTTAAGAACAAAAGAAGCATAAGCATTTTGTCTGCCACTAGTGAGAAACAATCAATTGATTTCCTCTGTTAACCTATAGGGAATCTTGTCTTTGAACTAATATGAAATACACCTACCAAAACATTGGGAACAACCTCAATCTCCCTAAAGGACTTAGTAAGCTCAGTTTCTCGGCTAATGCTTCGATCTGGTGCCGAATTTGACACTTGCTGATCCAAAACCTGTTAGTTTACGAATCGCTTTGTCTTTCATTCCTACGAGTCCAGCACCATACATGTTTCACGTGGTTCAAACACATCCATTCCCTGTTATCCTATAAAGTTTCAGCATATGAAGTATTCTTATTTTGCAAATGAGGCTGGAAATGATATAATAAGTCTCCACATAAGGTACATTAGTTCACACATTTACCATTTGCAGCATAATTAGGCAAATATCAATCATCTGCTTATTTTTAATACATTTTTTCAGAGAGGCAAGAGACAATTACCAGTTAAGAAAGGAAGTGATTGGCTTAAAATCAAGTGGTTGAATAACTCTGGTTGGCAGGTTTCATGTTCATAAGAAGCTATACGAAGATGGTCATGCATTTGGGTTTAAAGGAAATCGAAAGGTGAGTATCAATGGCTTTGAAAACATACCCTATGTAAATGGTTTCAGTCGAGTTCGAGTATTGCTAAACTCAACTTCAATTAAGCTAAGCTAGACTTGACTCGAAAGCTTGCAAGCTTAAAATTGTCACATTCAACTTAAACTTGAAATAAAAATTAAAATTTGACTCGAATTCGAAAAAACTTAAACTCAAAACATTCTCAAACTTAAATTGATTGAAGTTTAAATTTTTATTTGGTTCAAGCTCGAACCTAAACCTTAAATACATGAAAACTTTGTATTTGTATTGTATTTAAAAAACATATAAATGATTGTAATCACCATTTTTAGCTGCCAGCAGCCCCTCCACGTTGCAGTTCCAACAGCTTCCAGCAAATGCCAACAGCCCCTCCACGTCCCCGTTCCAGCAGCTTCCAGCAAGCATATCAGCCGCACACCTCATAGTCCCTAAGACAGCCACCATCATAGGTTGGTGACTTACTGGGTTACCCTCCTTTAACCGGTCCAAAGGGCATACGAAAGGGCCTATAAGAAGCCCCATCGACTGAAGCTATCATAACACACAACAACCAAACAAAAAATATATATATATAGAAAAGGAGAAGAAACTTATCGAGGAGCCTCCAAGCGCCTCCGGATATACGAAACGTCGAAGGAAAAATTGTAGATCTACATTGATCTATAGATTTTTAGGAGAAACAGAGGCTGGATTCGGATAGTAAGAGCATTGATTTGGGTGATTTTGCAAAATTTCGATCATCGTGGATGGTGGTCGACGGTGGCCGTCGGCGATGACGTATGGTGGCCGGTCGGTGAACGGATTCCCTTCGGTAAGGGAAAGTTAGAGAAAAGAAAGAGCTTAACTCTCTTATAGAGAGAAGCAAAAGAGAGAAATAAGGATTTTAGGCCTATTTTGGCCTATTTATACCCAACTCAAAACTACGTCGTTTTGGGAAGGACCTCTGCGTGATTTTACGCATGGGTAAATTATTTTCGTGGTCCTTGTATGTTATACCCTTTTATAGTATAGTCACTGAAATCAATTTCTGCGCATTTCAATTCGGTCTTTATATTTTATTTTATTTTAATTTAGTTATTGCCTATATATTTATATATTTAGGGTAAAATATTTAATTTAGTCCTTTTAATTTTAATGATCTATATTTTAACCCGTGTAATTATTTATGGTTAAATTATGCTAATAATACCTAGATTTCATAATATTTTGAATTAGGGCCATTAATTTTACCATGTTATATTTTAATCCCTGATATGCTAATAATTTTGATTTTTCACCATAAGTTTTATTACTTTTTAATTTAATCCTATAGTTTTAATTTTCTTTATTTTAGTCATTATTAATTACAATTTTATTTTATTTTTATTATTACCTTTTATGTTTCAATATTTAAAATTTAGTCCTTTAATTATTGCTCTTTATTTTTATTTCACTTCATTTTAGTCACATGAATATATATATAAAGGATAATATTTATTTTTAAATATTAAGAAAGGGTTGTCTTAAAATAACTAGATGTCCTGTTCTAATATGATTTCTTGGGAAGAATTATTATATTCTTATTATTTCAGTTGGAAAGAGAAATATTCATTCTAAAGTAATTTAGGGATTAGTTTCTCTTCAATTGGAAATATTGGAATATTTTATATTTTTTCTTAGAATTATTCGATTGAATCTGGAATAATAGGATCGTAAATTAAATTCATATTTGAATTCTTAACCATCCGCTACTAGAGACATTTTATAATCGATGGGTACCAATTTTGGGCATTTTAGGGTGTTAATCCTTCATCAAACGTAATTGACCACGAATCCCTTTTTATTACTAAAAAGAATGAATTTTTGGTTATACGCAAACCAATTTATCTTTTAACTGATGTTTTCTTGAAAACTCTTTTAAAAGATGATTTTTTTAGATATTCGACCTACCTAACCATAAAGGTCGATGGAGACCCCAAAACATTTCATAAAAAATCATTTATTTATTCACATACTTTTCCGCCAAGGAAAATTCGTGCCCGAGTGAAAATCGGTTACAACAGCTTGGCGACTCCACTGGAAACATTTGGTCAAGCCCTAAATCGATTATATATTGTCTCTGTAGTTAGAAATTGAGAATTCAGTTTTATTTAATTTACGATTCTTTTGATTTCTTTCAATTCTTTATTCTTTATTATTTTTAGATCCTTATATACAATGATACAAGGATATATTCCTCCAAATTCATACAAGGAAATGACACAACATGTCCATACCAAGAGAGGATGAATTCAGATATGAAGATGTGTTCAATTAAATGGATGAATATTCATTTATGTAATTAGTCCATGAACCTGCATAGGGGTCGTACATTGTATCTACATAAGGATGAACATTCATCCATGAAGGTTCACTCATTATATGTTTTGTATTCACACCATGCACTCTTAGGCCTATAAATAGCTTTCCATTTCATTTGTAAAAATCAATTCATTTTGTTTAATGAAATATTTGTGAGACTTTCTCTATTTAGTTCTTAAGTGAACTTTATCGACTTATCAAGCTTGTGCTTGTGGCGTCACCCCTATCTATTTCACCCTGATACTTCTGGTTCCTATCTCTTTATAGATAGTGGGTCAAATTCCTTGTTTATCACCCCCTTAAAGAAGCAATATAATATATTGGTCTTTGTTCTTTAACATTGGTTCTTCTTAGAGTATTCTTTGAGATACTATCTTTCATATTCATCTCCATCACCTTCATTCTACTTCCATTACCATACTTCATCATTTCCTTTAAACATATCACCAACTTATATATATATTTCGCTTTCATATTTATCTTTCCATTTCATTACTCCCATTTAACCATTTTTTTGAGCTTTCTTGTTTGTGCAGGATCCTTGTTCCTTTCCTAGACCGAACAATCAAAGGTATAACCTTGACTTCGCCATCCATCCAAGGAATGCTAGGTTGAACTGTATCAGATTCCCTTACAAGAAAAAATGAACAACATTGCCTACAACTCCGAGAATTAACACAAAAGATGAAAGAAAAAGACAATGACATGAAGGAAGATGATGTTCAAGCAAATAATGTAGCTCATAAACTAGTTGATTTAGCTGGCTTCACGAGAGAATTAAAATAGATTGATAACTCCATACATGGGTATGAGTGGAAGTTAATTTGGCTTTTAAGGGAAATAGAGAAGTTAGGAGTGAAAGTTATCCCCTATATGTAGAGTTTTGTTTGATGTATCGAAACTTTTATGTTCAATGAAAGCTATTTTAAGATAATCACTCTTGATTAACACCTTTTTCATACATGCATTTGCATTGCACAATTTGCATTGTTATTTTTGCATTTCTATATTTTTTGCATTTTCATTTACATTTTTGCATTTGCATTATGTTAGTTTCAAACCATTTTACATGCAATAAATCACGAAATATGGGAATAATTCGTGGATGATTCCATGACAGAATTTTTGAAATCAAATTGGAGCTAAATTGGTCTTCCTAGATAAGAATAAGAGTCATAAATGAGATTTTTGCAAGGCTAGGTAGAATCGAGAAACTCCAAGAGTAACTCATAAAATCTCAACGAGAGATGATCGATCAAGCAAAAAGTTCCAGGATGATTCAAAGGAAAAAATGACCAAATTAATGGACATGGTGAATGTTGTGATCCATGGAAAGAAACCCTTATAGGATCTCATTGTAACATATTTGGATGGGATTATGAATGTTAGTGGTGTAGTGGATGCAATGAAAACAAATGACCATGAACTTGTCAGGGAATGTATAAATCCAATAAATCTCCAAAAATAAGTATGATCTTGTGAAAATGCGACAGAAATCAAGTTGAAGAGAAGCATGGAAGAAGTTCAAGTGCCATTAAAGAAAGCTAAACAAAGCAAAAATCTAGACGATCATTCACAAGGTTTTCAAGACGATGGCAAGGAGAAAATTAGGTCAGAAGAATTTCTACCCAATTTTCCTGTAGTTTTGTGCATCAAGTTATATCACCAGTTGCTCCAAGCCCAGCTTATTGCTCCATGTCTGACTAAGCCTTTGTTGCTTCCATACTAGAGTTGGTATAATGAGAAAGTTTCTTGTGAATATCATGCTGAAGCCCGAGGACACTCCATCAAGAATTGCGATAACTTCAAACGACGAGTTCAAGACCTCTTGGTTCAGGAAACCATAGAAGTGAATATTAATAATCAGTTTGTTTTAGTTAAATAATTGAGAATCAAACCCCAAAATGGAGTTGATAATATCAAAACAAGGGAAGTACATGTCGTAGAGGATGAGGAAAAAAAGGTATTTGATTCAAAGATGGTATTTGAGCCAAAGATAAAAGATTCAACTCTCAATACCTCTCTGATTATAAATGATGAAAAATAAGTGAAAGAAGAGGTAATTTGAGACTGACCTATAGGTTTAAGAATGAATGGGGTA